TGTTAGCTCTTCCTGATGGATAGACCCTGTAATTATTATATAATGCCCTTCTTCATCCCTTGTTACTCTCTTTACTTTAAAGTCCAGTTTGTCTGATATAAGCATAGCTACTCCAGCTTTCTTTTGACTTCCAGTAGCATGATATATATTTCTCCATCCCCTTACTTTCAATCTGAATGTGTCCTCCAGTCTAAAATGAGTTTCTTGTAGACAGCAAATAGATTGATTTTGGTTTTTTATCCATTCTGCTACCCTATGTCTTTTGATTGGGGCGTTTAGTCCATTTACATTCAGTATTATAATTGAAATATATGGGTTTAGAGTCTTTGTGTCCTTTGTGGAGTTCACGCTTGTGGTGGTGTCTCTGGTATCTTGTGTTCTTTGCAACATCTCCCTCAGAGAATCCCCCTCAGGATTTCTTGTAGGGCTGGGTTAGTGGTGACAAATTATTTCAATTTTTGTTTATTTGGGAAGAGTTTTATCTCTCCTTCTATTCTGAATGACAGGCTTGCTGGATAGAGGATTCTTGACTGCATATTTTTTCTGTTCATCACATTGAAGATTTCCTGTCATTCCTTTCTGGCCTGTCAAGTTTCAGTAGATCTGTCAGCACTCTGATAGGTTTCCCTTTGTACATTAGGGCCCTTTTCTCCCTAGCTGCTTTCAGAAATCTCTCTTTGTCCTTATATTTTGCCAGTTTCACTATGATATGTCGTGCAGAAGATTGCTTCAAGTTACATTTGACGGGATTCTCTGTGCCTCTTGGATTTTAATGTCTGTTTCCTTCCCCAGATTGGAGAGGTTCTCTGCTATAATTTGTTCAAGGACTCCTTCAGCACCTTTCTCTCTTCCTCTTCTGGAAATCCTATGATATGGATAGTTTTCCATTGGATTGTATCACTCAGCTCTCGAACTATCCTTTCGTGATCCTAGATCAGTTCATCTCTCTTTTTCTCGGCTTCCTCTTTTTCTATAATTTTGTCTTCTAATTCACCTATTCTCCTCTCTTCCTCTTCAATCTGTGCATTGGATGCCTCCATTTTTATTATACATTTCATTTATAGCATTTTTTATTTCATCACATTTTTAAGCTCCATAGTCTTTGTAACAATAGTTTCTCTGATGTCTTCCATGCCTTTTTCAAACCCAGCGATTAATTTTATGACTACTATTCTAAATTCTTGTTCAGTTTTGTTGCTTATATCTGTTTTGAGCTGTTCTTTAGCTGTCATTTCTTCCTGGAATTTCTTTAGAGTTTTTCCATTTTATCATTTTGGCTAGCTTTCTGTCTGTTTCTTTTAGTTTTAAAAGCTTGTTATGCACTCTGCCCCTGCAAGTACTGCTGTATTAAAAAAGCCTCTTTGTCCAGGGCTTGTCCATTCAGGAAGTGTTCTTTCAATGGTGTCTCTTGGTCTCTCTTGTTGAGACTTTGGTTATTTTATTTCCCTACTTTTAGCGATAGGACTCTCCACCATGGGTACTTTGGCTTGTTTCTTGAGGTAGCCGCTATAAGGTTGTTTTCTCATCAGACTCTGTCTCCTTTTCCTTCCAAACTCCTGGATTCTGTAAGAGTTCCTATGGCTTCCGGCCTTCTCTGTTTGAGAGATGGTGGTGAGTGAAATGTATGGAGCTCCCTACTTCTTTGCCATCTTGCCTCCTACTCCACATATTTCAATTCCATTTCAGAGCTAAAAAGGTCAAGTCCTAGAGCATATGTGGATAGTAACTAAAGGTATAATTTGAAGCCAGGTCATCTTTTTCAAAATCCTGAACATTTTAACAACTCAGTATACCACACTGCTTCTCAGTTGTATACCCTTAATATAAATTTACTTAAATTTATTAAGCTTTTTAAAGTTTTGGGGGTTTGGGGTTTTTTTTTCACTGTTTTATTGAGGATTTGTATAATACCTTGGAGTTTATAAGTTTCTTTTTCATTCTTGTTTTTCTTCCATCTCTGTCTTTAACAAAACAGAATGAGAACTGGTTTTCTTCACGATTTATTAACTCACCTTTTTTTAATATCTGTTTTTTATTTTGAGAGAGAGAGAGAGAGAGGGAGAAAATGTAAGCCAGGGAGGGGCAGAAAGAGAGGGACAGAAAGAATCCCAACCATGCTCCACATTGTTAGCCCGGAGCCTGATGCAGAGCTCAAACTAACAGTGAACTGAGCCGAAATCAAGAGTCAGATGCTTAACCAACTCAGGAGCTCCCATTTACTCATTTATTCCTATATTTTGTTTTAATCTGGATCAAAATAAGATCCATACATTACAATTAGTTGGCATGTCTCTCTTTCTTGGGGGAGGGGAGTATAGTTGACACACAATGTTACATTAGTTTCAGATGTACAACCTGGTGATTTGACAAGTTTGCACATTATGCTGTGTTCACCCCAAGTGTGGCTACCATCTGTCTAGTTACTTCTTTATTACAGTATCATTGACTGTATTCCTTACACTTTACTTTTTATTCCCATAAATTATTCATTCCATAAGTGGAAGTCTGTATCTCTCAAATATATCTTATAATTCTAAAGGTAAAAATTCTAATATCAAGGCAGTAGCAGGGCTATATTTCTCCTGGAGGATTCATAAAAGAAAAATTTTTTTTCCCCTTTCCAGATTCTTGAACCCACCTGCATTCTTGGCTCATGTCCCCTTCCTTCATCTTTCAACTGCATCAGTTTAACCACTCTTTTGTTGACACATCTTTTTTCTGATTTTAACACTGTTACTCCCTCTTCTAAGCCCCTTGTAAGTACACTGGTATTTCCCAGATAACATGGGATAATTTTCCCATCTGAAGATCCTTAACCTATATCCATAAAGTTCCTTTTGTCATATAAAGTAACATCCATACAAGGTCCAGGCATTCAGACATAGTTTTCTTCTGGGTACCATCACCATTCATCCTACCACTGTTAGCCATCAAGAAAATGCAAATTATAACCATAATGAGATAACTCTTCAAACCCATTAAGATGCCTATAATCAAAAAGATCAATAACAATGTTGACAGGAGGTGATGACATTAGAACCTCAGGGGCGCCTAGGTGGTTCAGTCAGTTAAGCATCCGGCTTCAACTCAGGTTATGATCTCACTGCTCCTGAGGTGGAGCCTCGTCCAGGCTCTTCGCTGACAGCTCATAGTTCCCAGCTTAGGGCCTGGAGCCTGCTTCAGATTCTCTGTCTCTCTGCCCCTCTGCCGTTCACACTCTGTCTCTCTCTGTCTCTTTATCTCTGCCTCTCTCTCTCAAATATAAATAAAAAATAAACATTAGAAACAAGAAAAAAAATTAGAGCCATAATACACTGTTGGTGAGAACGTAAAATGGCATAGGTCTTTTAGACTATGATCTGGCAGTTCCTCAAAAAGGTTACACATAAAGCTCCCACTGACCCAACATTTCACTTAGAAAAATTAAAATTTGGTTGATTAGGGGTGGGGGAGAAGGGAGGATGGGTGATGGCATGGAGAAGGGCACTTGTTGGGATGAGCACGGGGTGTTATATGGAAACCAAGTTGATACTAAACTATATTTTTTTAAAAAAGGAGAAAAAGAAAGAAGAATGAAAATCTATGTTCAAAAAATATCTTACATGAATGTTCATAACAGCATTATTCATAATAATCAAAAGATAAAACAACCCAAATGTCCATCAACTGATGAAGTAATAAACAAAATATGATATATCCACACAATGGAACAGGATTCAGCAGCACAAGTAATAAAGTACTGATGCATGCTATAACATGGGTAAATCTTGAAAACATTATGACATGCAAAAGAACCAGTCACAAAAGATTATATATTGTATGATTCCACGTATATGACTGTCCAAAATAAGCAAATACATGGAGACAGAAAGTAGAGTTGGGTTTGCCTAGGCCTAACTGGGGATGGAATGAGGAATTACAGCCAATGGGTCTGGAGTTTCCCTGGGACAGCATTAAAATGTTTTAAACTTAGATTATAGTTATAGTTGCACAAGTCTGTAAATATACTAAAACCTACTGAATTATTCTTTTAAATGGATGATGCATGGTATGTGAATTTTATCTCAGTAAAGCTTTTATTAAAAAATTTAAAAAGACTTTACTAAAGGAAATGTTCATTGGAATGATTTCAGGGTTATCCTACCTAAAGTATTGACATAAACACTGTGGTCTAATTCAGGGGTGTATAAACATGGATGTGCCACTTTAAAGAGTCATAAAAACACAAAGCCCTGAGCTTTTAATTTCATTAATGATAATTAAGCAGACTTGAAAGAAATCTATCATTTAAAAAACCCTCATTTCCCCTAAAATAAGCACAACTTGTCATTTACCATTTACCAACAGCTAGTTAAATTAATAGTAGTCTGATATTTTACTACAGCTATCGATATCCTGCTAAATGCATAACACAGCAATACATGATTAATATAGATACAGATTCTTTAAATGTATTAAACAATAAAAACTCATCTTTAAGGTTCATGGAAATTAATGTCCTTTTAGCTCACATCAACTTTCCTTATTCACATTTCCAATTGAAATTTTCATTTTAACTGAGATAATAAGATCTTCAAGTGGATATGCCAAGTAAATGGATCATTTTGTAGTCAACACTAATACAGAGGTGGGACCAGAATTATTATATTTCATTTCATATCACTTTCCCCCATACTTCTCCTTTATGTCCTCAAGGAAGCTACCTATTAGCAATAAAATGAAACTGAATTATTACTCATTTACATCTCTTCTCTTCATACTTATTAAGGTGTTGTTTCCATTGTTTCAACTCTATATTCCTAAAAATATACCTAGTCTTCCTTCCAGTTAAAACCTGACATTCCTTCTTTCCTATATCCATTCACTTATTTAAAACACATTCAGCATCAGGTGCCTGGATAGCTCAGTTGGTTAAGTGTTCAACTCTCTATTTCAGTGTGGAGCTTACCTGAGATTCTCTCTCTCTCTCTCTCTCTCTCTCTCTTCTTCTTCTTCTGCTCCTCCCCCATTCTCTCTCATACACACTTGCTCTATCTTTCTCTAAAAAAAAAAAAAAAGATAAAGCACATTCAGGTTTTTTATAGCATTGTCAGACACTGTGCCTTTATTTGCATACAGTATGAACAAAAAAGGCACCATCCCTTCTGTAAGAGAAGAAAGACAGCTGTTTCAACAAAGAGTTAAAATAAACGGGTAAGTGTGCTCATGTAGAACTATATATATAGTGCAGCAATAACATAAGTGACTGCAGTCAGAAAAATGGAGGTTAGGGAAGATTTAACAAAATAGAAATTCTTGAGCTCTGTCATGAAAAATGATAAGTTTGCCTCTTTGCTAGAGAGGTGTGGCTGGGTGTATATTACAAACAGAGAAAACAGCATAGAAAAAGGCAGGGAATTATTAAATTGTACAGAACAGTTATATTAAAATAGAATTGCATTTTTACCTCTGCTTCAAGGAAGACAGAGTAGAAGTATTTTACCCATGGTTCCTTCTATGTACCACAAAAATGCTGAAACTACTTATAAAATAAACATAGGAAGACATTGAAAGGTGGGAGTAGGCAGACTGGTTAGGGACCCTAGGACCTAAGTGATGACATGATAATAAGGTTCTTGGGTTTCTTTTTGTATCTTCTACATCTTGTACATGGCACCGGAGAAGCCAGAAACCTGAAAATGAAAACTGAACACCCAAAACAAAACAAAACAAAATCAAAACAGGAAAGGGGCAGTAGAGCAAGAAAAAGTTGAGATAATAACCTCTCTAGTCCAGCCAAACACACACACACATAAAAAAAGGATCCAGCTACAGTAATGCCAACAAAACCCAAGCAAGGCTCCTCGACTTGCACGCTCACCAGACTGTTAGCAATACACTCAACTCCATTGCAGGGGTCATGTCAAAGAAGGCTGAGGCTTAGATTCCCCAATAAGCTCTAATGAGCCTCCTAAAACTCCTGTGATGTCAATGAAGACCTTGTAGAGAACCTGAACATCCACCCCCATCCAGCATTCAAGGGGCTGCCTTCCTTTTCCTGTGACATGGTGTAAAAGGAAGCCTAATGGAGAGAACTTTTGACACCCAGAATTCATACAGTCCCCTGTCCCCTACTCCATATTGGCAGAAGCCAGATGTAAATGGCAAGAAGGTACATCTGCCCTTCCCAGACAGGGTGGGATCAGGGGAGGCCCAGCAAGGGGCTGAGATTTCTACACTGCCAAGCAGTAAGGAGGAGCCTCTCTCACCCACCAGAAAACTGGACTTTTACCCCCATTTGGCAGTAGTTACTCAATATCCTCATTCTCCTGAGGCAGCAGTGTCAGATGAAACAAGGTAAAACAAAACATTTAAGTAAGATCCAATTTATCATAACATAGTACACAAAATGTCTAATTTCCAATCAAACCAAGAGGCAAGAAAACCTCAAATTGAATGGAGAATGATAACAACAGCCATCAACACTGAGATTACAGAAATGTTAGACATAACTGACAAGGATTTTAAAACAGCCATCATAAAATAGCTGTAATGAGTAATTACAGATACATTTGAAACAAATTTTAAAAATAAGGAATATTGGAAAAGAAGTAGAGAATCTCAGATAAGAAATAAAAGATATAAAGAAGAACCAAATGTAAATTTTAGAATGATAAATACAATAACCAAAATAAAAGCTCAGCTGGTGAGCTCAGCAGGAAAAGGGAACAGAGGAATGAAATAGTAAACTTGAAAACAGAACAGATAAATTCACTGGAAAATTCTACCAAATGTTTAAGAATTAACTTCAATTCTACACAGGTTCTCCCAAGATATACATGAGAAGAGAACATCTTTCAATTTTACAATGCTGGTATTACCCTAATACCAAAATCAGACAAGTATGGTACAAAACAATAAAACTACAGATCGATATTTGCAATGAACACAGATGCAAGATTCTTAATGAAATATTAACAAATGAAATTGAGCATATAGAAAAAGAATTATATACCATGACCAAATGGGGTTTATTCTGGGGATGAAAGGCTGGTTCAATATTTAAAAATCATTTAATGTAATCTACCATTTTGATATAATTGGTAAAATTCAACATCAATCCATGATAAAACTCTCAGAAAATTAGAAATAAAAGATACCTTCCCCTAATCGATAAAAAAAAAATCTACAAAAAGTCTACAAAGCATAGTATTCTTAATGGTAAAAGACTGAATGCTTTCCCTCTAAGATTAATAACAGAGGAAGGATGTCTATTCTTAAGACTTTTATTCAATACGGTACAGTGCTACCCAATGCAGTAAGAGAAGAAATGCTAGTGAGAGAGAAAGAGAGAGATAGAGAAAGATAAGAAATAAATAAACGTATCCCTATTTGCAGATGTCATGATTATCTATGCAGATCTTAAGGAGTACGCACGCACACACACACACACACACACACACATACATAATCCTAGAACTAAAAAGTGAGTTCAGGCACATTACAGGATGCAAGATAAATGTAAAAAAAAATAATTGAATTGCATATACTAACAATAACACTCAGATAACTACAATTAAATATATGATATTCTTTTTATCTACTCAAAAATACTTTGGTGTAAATCTAACAAAACATCACAGAACTTGTAGGCCAAAAACTATAAGCCACTGATTAAAGAAATCAAAGAAAATCTAAATAAATGGAACGTATACTGAGTTTATAAATTGAAAGATTCAACATTGCAAGTATATAAATTCTCTTCAACATCATATACAGGTTTGATGCCATGCCTATCGAAATCTTCGCAAGGTGTTTGGAAAATATGAACAAGAATGCTCTAAAAATTACATAAATTTAATTCTAAAATATATGTAGTAAGGCATGAACACTGCAAAAGGCAAAAACAATTTTTTAAAGGAAAATAAAGTGGAAGGAATCTTTGTACCTAATTTCAAGACATTATATAATAGGTACACTGATCACATCCCCTTGGGATCGGTAAAGTGAAAGACATTTATTTAGGTCATCTTCACTTTTACTCAGCAATACTTTATAGTTTTCAGTGTACAAATCTTTGATTCCCTTGGTTATTTATTCCTATGTATTTTTTTTTCATTTATTTGGTTTTATAAATGGAATTACTTTCCCAATTAATCTTTTCAGATTGCTCCAATTTTGGTATGTGTGTTGACTTGTACCCTGAAGTTCTGTTGAATTATTTCTTTGCTTTCATTGTCTTCTTGTGGGCTTTCCTTCAGCACTTGTTTGCAGTGTAGCTCAGAACCACTGGCTTTCCTGGGATGATTTACCCTCATTTAGGATACAGCTCTGATACAGAACCCATGGATGTCCTGGGTTTTCTCAATTAGGAAGTTTATACTCTGGGCTTATTTTTCACAAAGCTGAACAAAAACGTGCGTATACCTAAGCTCAATTCGTTTTAAATGATAACTATTTTTGTATGAACTTTTTCTCAAAACTTCTCCCCAGGGCTCCCTCAGAATTGTTTACAGACTTCCCAGGGGGTGAGGATGAGGAGATTGAGCAACGGATGTGTTTATGACTCTCTTCCCTTTGGAGGATGATCTGCTACACTGGATGAGGTTCTCTGACTCACATAAGTGCAAAGGAAAGCAAACAAGTGAAACAAGAGGAAGAAAAGGAGAGGGAGATGAGAGAAGAGCTTGCAGAGAAGTGTCAGCCAGGAACTGACTATGGTAAGGGAAGAAGAATCCTCTGAGAAACCAGAGGGAGAGAGAAGGGATTTGTACTGAGGAAGCCTGCTCATTACAGTAGTCCCCCTTATTCACCCAATATATTCCAACATCCCCATGGATGCCTGAAACCATGGATAAAACTGGACCCTGGGGCGCCTGTGTGGCTCAGTCGGTTAAGCATCCTACTTTGGCTCAGGTCATGATTTCATGGTTCATGGGTTCGAGCCCCGCGTCGGGCTCTGTGCTGACAGCTCAGAACCTGGAGCCTGTTTCAGATTCTGTGTCCCTCTCTCGCTCTGCTCCTTCCCTGCTCATTCTCTGTCTCTCTCACTCTCTCAAGGATAAATAAACATTAAAAAAAAACTGGACCCTATATATACTCTCTTTTTCCTTTACATACATACCTATGATAAAGTTTCATTTACAAACTAGCTACAGTAAGATTAACAGTACTAACAAATAATGAAATAAAACAATTATAACAATATACTGTAATACAAGTTGTATGAACATGTTCTCTCTCAAAACATCTAATTTATTCACCCTTCTTCTTCTTCTTGTGATGATGCCAGAGAATAAAATGTCTACAAGTGAGGTCAACGATACAAATATTGTGATGCAGCATTAGGCTACTATTGACCTTCAGACAGTATGTCAGGAGGAAGGTCATCTATCTGTTTCAGGACCTCGGTTGACGACCGGTAACTAAAACTGCAGAAAGCAAAACTGTGGAAAGGGACTACATACTTTGAAAATACAAATTAAAAAAGAAAAAATAGTCTTATTTATTTTACAACCACTCCCTGCCTTGAATCAATTCAAGATACAAAAGAGTTTAACTTCTTACTGATTATATCAATATTTAAATTGTACTTCTTGTCATTTTTATTTTATTCAAAAGTATTTACTGGATGTCTGTTACATTCCAGGAACTAGTCTCAGTAAAGCAATAAAAAAAGCAAAAAAAAAAAAATTCTTCATATTCATGCAGCTTAATTTCTAGTGGAAAAGACACAGGAATAAACAAACAGCAAAGCAACCAAAAGGGATGTCAGATGGCATAAATACTATGAACAGAAATAAAGCAGGTCAAGGAGACAGAGAATGAGACATACATGGAAAATTATTTTCACTGGGGTCTTCAGAGAAACTGACTTATCCCAAGATTAATGTGTGCTGATAGCAAGAAATTTTAACAAAGGTGAACAAAAGGAAAAACTGAAATATCTTTTATTTTATGACCCAGGGATAGATAGCCTGTGTTAATACTGTATTATAATTATAATGAATGTCCCTAATTATTTCATGAGGCTAATTTCAAATGTCAGTCAATAACAGTGCAAAATTAGTATTGTGATCGACACTTGTAATTTTTTCTAGTAAGATATTACCACTGGCATTGTATAGAAATAACCATATTTGAAATACTCATTAATATTGACTATTGTTATTCATAAACATATAAATCTGATTTAGTTTTTGTCATCAAAATAATCATGCTATATTGTCTTTAAAATATAGAGAGTATGCATTTTGTGATGCAGCCTCTGTTCATCCAACTAGAACTATTATAAAGGACAGAAGGAAAATACTTTCTCAGAGTAGGCTACAACTGTTCTATACTGCCATATATCAACAGTGCATGTGGAGCACAAAATCTGTTACTCTTTGCAGAGGGTTTGGCACATTTTAAATAATTTTTACAGATTAATTGAGATATAACTGTATACAACCAACTGTACACGTTACCTGTACAATTTGATAAGTTGTGACATTTGTATAAACCCAAGTAATTTTCATCGCAAGCAAAATAATAAACATTTCTATTATTCTCGAAGTTTCTTTTGGCCCTTTCATGATCTAAATTTCATCATATAGCCTCACCCACTCCTCAGGAAAAAATGTATTTGCTTTATGTTGCTCCAGATTTGTTTCCAGTTTCTAGAATTTTATATAAATTGAATAACAATATCCATTTGGGGTCTTGTTTCTTTCATTTCTCACAATTATTAAGGGATTTATTCAAGTGGTTAAATGTACCAATGATTTGTTTCTTGTTGTTGTTAAATAAAAATATAATACAATTTGCTTACCCATTCATTGATTAATGGACATGTGGACTGTTTCCAGTTTGGGCCATTATTATAAATGAAGTTATTATGAACATTTATGTATAAATATTTTTGTGGTTGTATTTTTCATTTGTGCAGAGTAAATATCTAATGGTTGGGTGATATGGTAGGTATGTGTTTAAGTTTTCTAAAAATAGCCAAACTGTTTTTCAAATGGGTTACCTCACTATACGTCCCCACCAGCAGCCTTATCCACTGCCTCAGCCTCTGTTCTGGGGTCACCTTAGTTTAATTAACCTGTCACAGCAGCTCTACTGCATATGTCACAGTTCAAACTATATAGGAATTGAGACACTTAAGAGAAACATCAAGGTCAGTTTTAAGCCAGCTGAGAAGATACACCTCTACCCAGTTAATTTGATCATAATCATGCTTCAGGTTGGTTCTAGGCAACTTCTGAGAGAAACTTCTACCCAGGAACTGAAAGATCAATCTGGAATAGTGGAATACTTTACTCTCAACTTATCTAACCTTCCTTGGTGCTACCCCTAACAAACAATGAAACCTGGACATGAAAATTCCAGAAACACAGTCTGATGACTTCCTGTTCTCTTCCCTTTCTCCTCTTTTCCTTCCCCAATCACACATAGATGGGAAAGGAGCTGTGTCACAGAACTTTACCCCATGATTCTGAAATGACACATTGCCTAAAGGCTCTACTGCATAACTCAAAGCATTCTCTTAAAGTCATATCCCCACCTCTTTCTAATACTACCCTCCATCAGAGGCAACTACTATCATGAGTGCAGTGTATATGTTTCCTAATAATAATTTATACTTTACCATACATATAATACACAAATACATATAATACATGAATAATATATAATAAATATACATATAAAGTATAATAATTTATATTTTACCATACATATAATGTATGAATAATATATATGAATGATATATACATATGAATAATAAAACATGAATAATACATATATGTACTTTACACACATATGACAGATGAATAATTTATGTAATATATTTATACATGAATAATAATAATATACTAAATTGTTACATGTTAGAATTTAAAATTTTTTATTAAGATATTTCAAAAATACACAAAGGTAAGAGTTAGACGTCCTTTCTCTGTTCTTTTAATGGTTACCAATAACAACTCATAACCATACTTAACATTAATATTTTAGTATAACAATCTAAGGTAAATCAGCATATCAGTCCCCTGGAGAAAAGAATCTTAAGCTTTATCCTTTCTTTGAACTCCCACTTCCTATCCCAAACTATGTAAAGTATGAATGAATTTGTTGTTTTATTTTAGAATCTTTTATTTTTTTCAATATGTTTTATGATATGTTGCTCACCCTTTCTTTCTAGAATCCCACTCCTGCTGCCGAGGGTTATTTTTCTTCTTGGTATAATATGTTATCCATGACAGCCTGTGGAGTGATTGAAGAACAAACACTTTAGAAACATGTTCATTTTTTAAGCTAGTTTTTAAACTTATGAAAGAGAATAAAAATTTCTGAGCTATTGTTCTAAATAACAGAAATCATACTGGAGTCTTCATAAAGTGAAGTGAAAAGGATAGCTCTGATAAAAACAATTTCAATACACATATATTTTAAACTTGAGAATTTTGTTTTAATGTGAAATTCAGTCAAACCTGAAATATTTATAATAAATATAATTAATGAACCATTGTAATCTTAAAAACTAGCCACACATTCTGACTTCTCATATTTTTCTAAATGTTTCATAATTTTAACAAACATAGAAGTTTACATTCATAAATGCAGAGAGTACTTTTCATGGACATTAAATGACAAGAAAACATAGCACAGGAAATTTATTACTTTCAATCATGCAGAAAAATGTCTTTGTCTTAAGACTCGTTTTAACTTGATTAGTGGGAAGACAGGATTCTGCTTAACACACTGTGTTGTAAATATTCTGACTGTCTAGCTTCTCTTAGTAGTGCATGGAAATAACTCACAGCACGGTGCCCAGATAAACAGAAATCCTAATGATTTCCATCATAGCTTACATTTCATTTAAAGGTGATTCTGTGTATGAGGGATACTAACTTTGTTGTCACTTTTGTTTCCCTTTTGAGAGGTCTTATTTTATTCTGTCTTAATAGCAATAAGCTGTTTTGGTGTGTGTGTGTGTGTGTGTGTGTGTGTGTGTGTAATAACTTAATAGTTTGGACATAGATATTCAGGTTCAAAGATACTTTCCCTCAGTACCTTGAAGATATTCCATTGTCTTCTGACAAATTATTGCTGAGATAAATCCTACTTTTATATGATTGTCTTTTCTGCAGAGGTAATCTATAATTTTACTTTAAAATGTTTTAATATTTTTCATTGTTCTTAATAGTATGCAGTCATTCTATTATATCCATCTTTTAAAGTTTATTAGATACATATTACAGCTTCTTACTATACCTTAATTTCTCTTTCACAGGCACTATCTTTTGTTGAATTGTAGAATCTACCTAATTTTATTATCAAAGTCACTTAGTCTTCAATTATGTCCAATTTACTACTGAATATATGTATTGATTTTTCAAATTAATAGTTAATTAATTTTAAAAGTTAATGGCTTTTTTAATTTTTAAAGTTAACAGTTAATTTCCAAAAATAATTTCTAGTTTTTTTTCACATTCATCATTTTATAGTAAAAATTTTAAACTCCTTTTTTGAAAAAGAGATAGTTATAGTTCTGTCATTATTATTCTTAGTATAATTCCACTCATCCATATGAACTGTAGTTTTTCACCAAAGTAATAGCTTCTATTAATAGAAAAAATGGAGGCAATAAAGTAAAATCTGTCAGATACAAGTATGCTAGCAGACTAGCAAAACTTATAAGTACACATAACACAACTTTCCAATAGAGCCACGCCTTTTTACTCACCTTAAAGGAGCAAAAGTGATAAACACATTCAGAAAAATTATTCAATAGTTCTGCCATTCTATAGCATATAAGACCAAGAAGCAAAAGCATATATTTTAAACTTATCTTTTAATAGTCCATGTTTCAGGATTCAATGTTAAGTATTTATTATCAATATATGTAAAGATCAACCATCAACCCTTCTGCATATAAGACAAAGATTTTAAATTATCAATAGTCAAGATAAAAGAGGAACCTAAGGGTCCACCAATAGATGAATAAAGATGTGGTGCATATACACAATGGAATATTACTTGACCATAAAAAAGGATGAAATCTTGCTATTTGCAACAGCATGGATGGACCTAGAGGGTATTATGCTAAGTGGAATAAGTCAGAAAAAGAAAGGCATATACCATGGGATTTTACTTATATATAGATTCTAATAAATAATACAAACAAGCAAACAAAACAGACTCATAAATATAGAGAACAAACCATTGGTTCAGAGAGAAGGTGGTAGAAGTATGGGTGAAAGAAGTAAAGGGAATTAAGAGATACAAACTTTCAGTTATAAAATAAATAAGTCATGTGTATGGATGTAAAGTATAGCTTAGGGAATACAGTCAATAACACTGTAATAACTTTGCATGGTGATGGATGGTAACATGGTTATCACTTCATAATGTTTATAAATATCAAATTACTATGTGGTACACCTGAAACTAACATAATATTGTATGTCAACTATACTTCAATATATTTTTTAATTCTTCCATTTAAAAAATCAGGTTTATTAGTTTCAGGGCTGTTATAACAAATTGCCACTTACTGGGTGGCTTAAAACAACAAAAATTTATTCTTTCATAGTTCTGGAGGCCAGTGGTGTTGGCAGAGCCACACTCCCTCTGAAGGCTCCAGGGAAGATGTTCCATGACTTCTTTAGCTTCTGGCATCACCAGCAATTTTTGGTACTCCTTGGCTTATTGATGTATCATTCTAAACTCTGTTTCCCTTATCCCATGTCATTCTCCCTAAGTGTCTTCTATCTGTGTCATTTCTTCTAAGGACACTAGTCATACAGGATTAGGGCCCACTCTAATTCAGTGTTATGTTATCTTAACTTGACTGCATCTGCAACCATCCCATTTCCAAATAAAATCACATTCACAGGTACCAGGGGTTAGGATTTTGACATAACTTTTTGAGGGGGACACAATTCAACCCACAATCCCAATTTTGTGCCACAACATTCCAATTAGTTCCAGATGGTAGGAGGTGTTCTAGCCCAAACATCAGGAGACATGCAATATAAATGGTCCATTAACTGCACTTTTCATGCTGTAAGCTGACAATTCTTTCACATCCTTTTTGTTTGAATGCAGATATGCCTGGCTCTTGCTCTCAAGATTACAGCCATAATAGTGAAGGAAAAATTAAGGGAGGTATGCTAAACTGCCTCATTTATCATCTGAAAAAGTTGTCAGGTAAATCCTGACTCTAAAATTTTTGTTTTAGTGTTAGTGACTAGAAGCCAAATAAACATGGCTTGATTTGCAGTCAGCTTGCTATGCTTGTGACATTATAGCATTAGAAAAAATATTGTTGAGAAGCATAAACTAAGAAAATTTAATACAGAAGTCACTGATTTAGTTTTGGGAGAGACATTTTTTCAAACAATAGATGTATTTTATTGCTGCTTTTAACATTCACTACACTTTTCAGCAGTGTTTCCATATAAATATTAAAGATAGCTTTAAAAGTAAAATATATGCAAATATATGGATATTAAATATCATATGATTGTAAAGTTATTAGATACTGTTTTTAAGGCTACAGGAAAAGCCAATTTGGACCCAACTAATTCAAATTGTTGATGTTTCACTAAGGGTTCATTTTAATTTCACTTTTGCTTTATGAGAAAATAATTTGCTAAGCATATTTACCTTGTGAAGAAATTGCCCTGTTCATACGACAAGTCATATACATACTCCTTGTAGCCTGGAAACATTGACATGTGAATAATTGATACATTAATTATAAATCATTCTTAGCCATTAGTTAAATCAAAGTTTTCTAAGTTCCACCTCCATAAAAGACTGTCTAGTTCAAAGCTGAATATAACATAGTACAGGGTGTTATAAAAAGGCATTTCTATATAAGAAAAAACTTTTAATACATAGTTTTACTTATTCAAATAGACCTATCCTTTTTGTATGAAATAAAACAGAACATGTTTTTCTTATTAGATTTTATTCCTTATCACTAATTTGTTCACATTCTGAGACAGAAAGCAAAATCTGAGTCACTTAATATGAAAAATCAATAGTTTCTATAAATGAGTGAAAGATGGACACCTAGGAATTTTTCTTATATGTTATGGAACCAAATATAGTCTCATTTGTTACTATGAAAAGAATCAGGTAATTGTACAAAATTGCATTCTTTTAGCACAACGAGAACACTGAAGATGTATATATCTAACATTGCTCAAAAGGATTTAGGAGATATGAGGAGTCTGGCTGATTATGTCACAGAAATTTACAAAAGAGAAATCTTAAGACATTTTAATTTTGTAATGAGTTCTCCAGGATTCAAACAACTAGTGGTGGTTATTGAGAATAATGAAAAGAATTCATATCCTGAAATGCTGCAAGCAAAATAGTTTGTGGCTCAGGTTTTGGAGAGAAGCAGAGATCTGAGGCTCAGACAAATTCCACTGAACACATGGTTAGTATTTCACCCAACCCTTGCTTATTTCCATACCCATGCATTCAGTAGCTTCAAGCCTCAAGATCCTTATAGGGCTTAAAAGAATTTAAACAAACTGGAGAAAATACCAACAACCATCACCATACTAGATCAGTCACAGATCAACATGTCATTTTATGCCCATTATAAATTAGGAAATTGACTAAAAGTCTATTACCTGTATTTTAGATTTAGACCTTTCTGATTGAGTAAAGTTCACATTTAGACTTAGCCATAATTAATGAGGAGAGCTTTAGCTTAGGAATAGCTCTCATAATAAGAAGTAGATCTTTGCTCTTTGATCATAGTGACTTACCACAGTTTTTATAGCTCCTAATGAATCTTCTACTTTATAAAAACAGTTCTAAAAGACTGAACCATCATACAAGTTGAGGGAAAATGCTATATATATATATATATACCATATATAAAAAATATATATATATATATATATATATATATATATGCACCATATGGTATATATATATATATATGGTGTGTGTATATAAGGTATATATATATATGGTGTGTATATATATGTATATGTGTGTGTATACATATATATATATATATGGTATGTTTATATTGATATTTGAGTATCAAGTGGCTGTTCCATTAGTGGTTATGTCACAGTAGGGATTACAAAGATTGTGGCATGGGAATGGCTGCTTCTGAAAATACTAGATGTTACCTAGAGAAAATGAGAAGTGATGTTCTTGAATGCCCAGTTCAGAACATCAGGAAAAAGAAAAAGAATTAGAAAATCTCTATGAAAGACTTAAAAGAT